ACACACGAAATGAAATTCAAAAGAATAAACCTCTTGGAGCACATGACAAATATTAGTGTTATTACCTCTTATTACTTCTTATGTTATATATATTTTTTTACTTCAAATTTAAAACACTTTAATATGAAATTTAATACAATTTTTATTTGATGGTCGCCCACATTTAAAATGCTCTTTCTCCACACTTCATTTATGTACTCTTTACACCCCCATTTAATTATTAATAACATCCACCCACACTATTATTCCCGTCCTATTTATAGCTCTAATCTTTATTATCTGTTTTACCGTATCATTTCTGTTGCTTTTCAACCAATCGCTATTATCGTATATATTAAATGTTCGTGTATTTTACTTATACATAAATATAAAATATAATAATATCTTTTGTTAATTCGAAATTAGCATGTAATATATTTAATAATTTTTTTAAATTATGGACATAAATATCAGCAAATAAATCATTCTCAATTTAAAAAGTTACAATTAAGTATAATAATACATTTTGATACTTAACTTAATTTGATATTATTAATTTCATATTTAAAAAATTCAATTTTTTTTAAATTGTATTATGAGAAAATGAATGTCTTATCCTGTGGTATACAACCCTTATGGTAAGTTCATCCATCACTAAAGAAAACAAGTATACATTCCGCCCGTTAGGTGTTTGTTCTGCACTCATTGCGGGAATTATTCGTTTCACCACTCCCGTTATCTTGTCTCCTCGTTTTCGCATTTTCCTACATGGACATAAATGCAATTGAACGCAATTTTTGTATTATTTTTAATTTTCTGACTTGCGAAACAACGCTAATGACTCAACACAGTCGATACAATATTTTTTTTTTTATACATTGATACCAATATCCTAATCGATAAATCACACTACACAAACACATTTTAATCAAGTTAGATATATTATAGAAAGTAGGCATTTTCTTTTGTAGGTAAAAGTATTTTTTTTACAACACGTTCTGTCGGATCTTCCCGAATGCAGAAATAAAAACAGATTATATATATATATATATATTCTAGGCTGGTTTAGGACGTGATAAAAGTGCAACCGAATTAACTGGATAATACACAGTAAACTATATAGTTCTTGGCTTAGGCTATACTTAATCTAACGTAAACAGCAAAATAGTTACAAAGAAAATTCACACGTCCAGCTTGGATTACAAAATGAGAGAAAACGTGATGTCGAGAGCTAGTAAAAAAACTTTGCCTGGTCTTTGTTTGGCATTAATTTTGTAAAATCGTCAACGTCGCTTACAGTGTGAACTACCAACCAATGTGCAACGAGTCTGATTTTTAGAAATACATCAAACCCAACGGTTTATGACCATTAGAGCACCAACTGTACTTAAAATTGGTAGAACTTTTCGAATTTGTGGCCTAATTATGAACCTTTTAGGTAAGATTTCTGATCTATAGACTTGCTCCGCATCAAAGATAATACGTGATGGTAGAAATGATTGTGTGCTTTTGAAATTCATACAAGTTCATATTTGATAGCAAAAGTATTATGTAACAATAATGCAACAAATTGTTTACACGAGTTGAACCCCAAAACAATGAATGGAATACTTTGTGTATAGTTAGAATAGAAATAGCAAATGTTAAGTGTTTACTTTTGATTTACATCTGATTATTAGCTTAGGTGAATTGCCTGAGTTATAAATATAATTTCCACCTTTGCGAGAAAGAGAATTACAACGTTTTTCAGGCTTTAGCATAAAAAATTTGATCCCGCCTATTTTTTTTAAATTTAAATTAAAAAAGCTTCCAATTTTCGAAGTCTTATTTTCAACTTTGACTAGTAAAACGAACACCGTTCTTTAAATACGATTTTGCTGTTGTACAGTTTAAATGATTTAAAACAAATATTCTAGTCAGTTACTTCATTGCCAAACAAAAATAACGTTCTTAATTTAGAAGCATAGTTTTATTTTACTCTATGAAATGTTGTAATTGACATAATTATTTGTTGTACATTTTTCAAAGTAGATTCACGCAAACTGTTTATATATATTTTTTTATTTATTAAAACTATAATGAGTTTGCATTTGAATTGCTGCAATTATTTTTCTCTTCACTCCAAATGTTATTTAATGTGTTTTTTTTAAATTCCATTTGTAATGCATACTAACTAATTACAATATAATTAGTCGTAGAATGCTGACGAAGAGGAAACTATTTCAAGCGAATTAATAAAATTATTAAAAACAACACTTGGGGTTTTATTGACATACGCAATACGCAAAATAAGGGTTTGTTTCTTATTTAATTAAATCTAGAGAGATGATTTTTTCTATTGTTATTCAAATAGCGGGAATGTAAATAATAAAGTCAACTTAAATCATACCTTCCTATCTTTATTTGGTTTAACAGACAAAAAAAAATTGCTTTTATAACATCCATAATATTTATCCTGTACACAATTTTTTAACTTAATATTTTTACATTAAAAACATGACTTCTACTGAGTTCAACGCATTACCATGTAGAAATAATAAACAACACAATTATTTTTACAACATTTTATTGCAAAATTATATTATATTAAATATAACAACAAGCGCAATCAAGATATGTTTACTTCACGTTACTGGCATGCACAGCAAAAATATAATTTTGAAATATATTATTTAATACTTAATAATAATTGCTAAAATAAATTTTAATGCTGTAAAAATATTATATTACCATTAAATGGTTCAATAATAATAATAATAATAACAATGGTTAAATAATTCCTAAGTATTTAATTCGTTTTTTTATAATGCTAAGGTAATATGTTCAAAAAGTTTGTGTTATTATATTTGATTTCTATTAAACTATATACTTTTATTATTTAGTTTTCTCCTAAAAATAATAACACAAAAACAAATTTTTCAATAATATTTCCTTATTTATAAACTTAATAATTGTATGTGTGAATTAGTTTTAAAACGTCAAACAATTATTGTCATAAAACAAAACACCTAGAAAATATTTATACGTGTGATTTATTCAATATAATTTCATTGGTCGATTCAAGTGTTTTTTTTTTTATTTATATACATTTAAAAAAACTAATGAAAATGATTGTTAATGCAATTATCTTAATAATAATTTAAATTCGTTTCAAGATGTTGATGATTTTAACCCTGTTCAGATATCGGACTTAAGTTGAAATTAAAAATGTAGGCTATATAGAAAATATATCTATGTCTTGTGCACTGATATTCCCACTAGCTTCCTTCCCAAGTCCGCATTGGCTTAAAGGGAGAATTATAAACTCCTTGAAGTTAACGGAAAGCGTTGCAAGTTCCATACATTCCTATACACAACAACAACAACAACCGTTTATTTCCAAAATCCAACTTTTAATGACCTATTGCGGCGTTATAAGCAACATTGTTTAAATACGTTATATTCATTAAAATACAGGCCTAACATTCTGAAAGTTGTTTTTCCGGCCAAACGCTTTGGGGTTTGTTTTGGATAAAAATTCATCAATTCTAATCTGTCGCTGTAGACTTTTTTCTTTGGGTGCTCGTGGTAGTAGTGTACTTAAACTAAAACAGCAATACCCTGGGTAAAAAAGGAACATTTGCAATTAGCGGCAATATTTGAGGAGTGGCTAAATTTATAATAGTTATGTTGGTGAGAAACCCAAGAAGGTATTGTTATGAAATTATGTTTTTTTTGTGTGAATTAACGTTAACTTTTTAATCGCTGAAACATTTTTTTTTTGTGTAGCAAGCCTATAGCTCAGAAATCGTACCTGACAAGTACTTAATTGAGCCAAAATATAAAAACTAAGAAAAACATTAAACATTTTTACATATTTTTAATAATAGCTATTATTATATGAATAGCTATTAATATAAATGGTTCAGTGGTAGTGTACGAACAGTAAATGTAGTTAATAATTTACCGTGTATTATGAATATTCTTTGTATTTTTGGTATTAAAATGTAAGCCCTCTTCTTGACCCAAGCTTTGACTTAAAAATGACTGTTCATGCACAATTTGTAATATTTTTACTGTTGAACTACTTAAAAAATAAAATGTTTTTTTTTTTAATCCATAAAAAATATTAAATCGTTATTTTGTTATTACTCAGAAATGCGTAGTACGTATCGTCTTTCAAACGTTAATTATATTATGGTTGAAAGTCTACTCAAGAATTAAAAATACTTGGAATACGAACTATAGTTTTATGTAAATAATGCTAATTTCTCATATTAAATGGACTGATGTAGTCTGACAAAAAAACAACTAGTAATAAAAAATTGTTTAAAATAAACATGCTTTCAAAATTCATTATAATAACATTAATAATTCATAATGGAATGTTAAACATTGATCTAAATTTAAGATGTTTGCTGAAGAAGTTATCAAAAAGTCAAAACTTAACAAAAAAAATCTATAAATACAAATTATTCGAATAAACCAATTTTTTCGAATTTCTTTGATTTTCTCGTTCAATATTGTTTTTAAACAATTTGTTTTATTCTATAATTCTGTTTAGACATATTTATATAATTAATATTGGTTTAAAAATAGTTGCGTTTATCTTGTTTTTAAGATAAATAGCCTATTTAAGTATACCTACACTGTAGTAACGCTCTAGTACACTCAATAATTCTAGTATAAATCTATAACAACGTGCTTAAAATTATATGCATCATCAATAACTTCTCGGCTCCGCATCGAAGCCCAAAAACCTCGAGTTCTAATGTAGTGTGAAGTATAAAGATTTACAAATGTTGACACCCAAAGTCGTCAACTACTTGTGCAATAATGAGACCGACCCTTTTATAGATCCATCAGTCAGTCTCTCATGACCTTCATCCGTGCGTGTATCGTCTATTTTTTGGGGGGGGGGGAGAAATACAGCGGTTAATCCCTTGGCCGGCGGCGCGTTAACAAAACGACTTAAGGGCTATCATAACGGGGTTGACGTGGGTGCGTTTTTATGTTGATAAACCTGTACGGTCAACACTTACCGACCACGGAGGTCCCGATTATCCACCACCACATGACGACGGTCGTCGGCTCTGGCGCTAATTGACCGGCGGACACATTTCTGAACCGTTCTGTTCTGTTTTTTTTTTTGACGGGCAACTTGATGGGAAAACGATTTTTTTAACAAAAAAAAGTCAACCGAATTTATTTGATTTTTTTTTTTCGACTCGGATATGCGGCGACGGACTTTTCGCAGGCTTTGTGACGTTTGCGGCTGTCGGAAAACGTGTGGACCGCACGAGGACTTCGACGGCACTGAAACTACATACACCACACCACGCTATCGCCGGCAACGCCGTACCTGAAAATCACCACCTTTGACCCTGTCTCCGCCCCTCCCGTTGCTCCTCCCTTGCCCTCAAACACCCCTCCGGGAACGACGGGCTAACCACCGGGATAAAGGTACACTCTATTCCCGTCCGGACTTGTGGATAAATCACCGCCTCGCCAATTCTGCTTATCTTATCTGGCCGCCGAAATTAACTGTTTTCTACTGTTTTCAGATATAGGCGGGTTTTTGTTTTTGTTTTTTCAAAAAACGTGAAAGGTTTTCCTAATATCGCCAACCGGGCGATTTCTTTCATTAGCCGCCAGTGGTCTTGAAGTAAGTACCGATACAATATCATATATTAGTACTGTTCAAAGACTTAACCCGTCAATCCGCCTACTACGTACGGGGCGATTAACAATTGTTCGCATACGTACAAAGTAATTCCGTTTGAGGGGAAATGAAAAGCCTATTTGTTGAGCCGGAAAATTATAGAAAACATTTGACAAAAATTTGTCTGTAGGAGTCATTTTATATAGGCCAACTGCTTTAAGGGTGAATAAATATAATGTTTTTCTGGTTACAAAAACGTTGAAATTATTTCTCCTTAAGTCGCACCGGTGATTTTCAGTGATAATACATGTTTGCGCCAACTGAAAATAACTCACTTAATATTGGTTTTTGAGTAAAAGCACCCATTATAAAATTAAAAGAGAACAATATTCCGCAGGGCAAGACGGTTCGTGTTTAAAATCATTTTTTTCAAAAGTTACAGTCATTTAAAAATGTCAAAATAGTCGTTATTTCTAAACTATGCACTGAGCGTTATACTTGGAGTAATGAAAAAAACGCACCCCTTCTTTCCCTCCGGAATATTGTTCTCTTTAAATTTTATAACTGGTGCATTTACTCTAAAACCAAAATCAAGCGAGTTATTTTCAGTCTGCTTAAACATGTAGAAATGAAAAAAACATTTTTTAATCGCTTTCAAGGATGCTGCGATAGTCCAAAAAATAAATTAACTACCAAAATAGAGTCTTAGTTATTGAACTAATAATTACACATCACAGTTTAACCTTTAAATTAAGATTTTGTACAAAATTGCCTATACTATACTCCTTAAAAATTGGCGGTGCGACGCCCTCTTAAGTTATGGCAATAGTTTGATATAAAAATGAGTTTAGTAAAAAACTACTATCTAGCAAGCTTACTACTCTTTCTATGCGGGCTAATAAGTTGAGTTTAAATTATGTTTGTGGAAAACTAATTAGATTTATAAAAAAAAAGGTAAAACGCTTATCATAAATATAAAAAATAAAAAGTCGGGATTTTAGCGTCCATAGAAATGTTAACTTAATAAGAAAATTTTTTTTTAAAATTGGCTCGTCAAATACTTTGAAAAGTGACTTCGCGTTTTAGTCTTTACTTGTATACATTTAAGCACTTTCCGTTCTCCTTAATGCAAGACACTTATTTTTTTGGGAAATATTTATAATTTTATAGTTTTTCTTTTTAAAAACATTTTTATTTGTATTATTAAAAAATTACCAAGTATTTTGCTTTTTTAGTATATCTATTAACTTTTGAAACTAAATTGAGAGTAATAATAAAACAAAACAATAACCCGTCAATAACACATTGCTTCTTGCCGCTGCGATATTGTTTTCCAATAAGACCAAACGGTAATTAATATATGTTATATATACTGTTGATTTAAACGATACTGGAAATAAAAACAAACAAATACTATACAGCATTCATATATTCAAACTTACAAAAACAAATGTCATAACTACAATATAGTACGTTATAATATGGTTGGTTTTTAATAAAAAAAAATCGTGGTCGATTTCTACGCTGGAACGAATTCTATTATCAACCATTTAAGCAAACGATTGGCGCCGTACAAAATCTAAACGTGACCCAAATGTTGTACAACCATTCTGTAAAGAAAACGTCTTGCTTCGATGTACAGTTCTTTGTCTGCTTCTACAAATTCCGGTTCCTTTAACGAGCATCCCGTTTCAATATTGATTTAGATTCGAGTATACTCGATAAAAATTTGGCGGTTCTAAATTCGTTGTCTCGTCAGAAACATTTAACGAGTGTTCGAAATCTTTATAGTTTTGACAACTTTGAGAGTCTATATTAAAAGCGTTATCTTGTTCACAACTTGCATTTTCTTTTATATATTTTCTTTCTAGAAAAGTGTGCATTTCTATAATATTTTCTTTAATTTCATCGCTCAGCGGCTGCCTGTTGACTATTGCATCAAAAAATATGTTTATCATATATCCGTAAACTTGAAGTAGCCAAAACTCTTCGGTTTCTTCATTGCACATGATATCGATGATTCTCACAAATTCGCGATCGAATAAAATACACTGTTGTACTTGATAATCTCTTAGAACACTTAAATCCGTTGTAAAATATATGATTCTAGTAAAATACATATTAAATCGGTTAAATCACTTTGCTTCGATATACCAACACACACAATGGATGATTATATGAAAAAATATGTTCCATGATTTCATTGAAAATAATTTCATGTTTATTACAAAAGGCGGTCAGGATTTAAAAAAAATGTTAAATCACTTTAAATGTACCAGTTATTGACAGTTAATCATGTTACATACATTTTATGCAACATACATATATGAAAATTTGGATTTTTAATTAATGACTTTAATTTACTTTATGGGAGGCCTGCATTTGACACTCTTGTAACATTTACAGAAGATATTTGCCCCCTCTTTCCCGTTAAGATTGCGCTTATTCTATAATTAAAAATAGTTCAGCCGAGCTCCGTGTTAAAGCTAAAAGAAAATAATTTGTTTTTAATATTAATAAATTAAAAACACTACTATTCTCCGTTTTTCTAATCTATCGCGCAGCAGGGATTTACCTTTTTAAAGGCACCTGCAAACTTATTAAGCGGTTAAATATTATCAACGAAACATATTAAACATTTTTTTTTTTTACTCTATAAGGCCATTTCAATACCTTGAAACCATTGTCCCTTTAGTAAATACTACATTTTTGTTTTAATGCCCTCCTCTTCGACCTAGCGTTTACCATGGCTCACTTCGTTGGCAATCGTCATTAAACGCTTGAATTCATGTGCAATAGTAATTATTTAAAAAAACAGCAAAAAAATCGAGTACACATTATATTGAACAGCCGAAGTATGTGTGAAGTATTTATATTTATATATTTATATGTGAATGTAATAATATTTAACGGTCCAGTACATTTTTAACAACGTTAAAACGTTGTTACCTTTAACTCTAATACAACTCATAAAAGTCATTAATTTTTAAACAAAAGAAAAAAATATAGCTCGCATTAATGCGGGGGGAGGTTACAGGTACTCAAAAGAATTTATAACTAACTGTGATGAATAAAATCACATTCAAATAAACGAATCGATGCGACTGTGTGGTAGGTAGAAATATAAAATATTTACAAATGCAAAAATGTGTTTAACATTTTATTTTTAGTAATACGAACGTTTTTAAAACATAATTTTTAAATTCACAACTTTATTTAACTTTAAAATATATATTTTTTTAATTTGATGTGAACCAAAAATCAATTATGAAATAAAAAACTCTAGATAATAGTCTAATTTTTAGGCCCTAAAACTACGCTCAAAAAGTGGAACAAATAAAAAGTTTCCACACCCCCCCCCCCCCATTCATCTAGGAGAAGAGTTTATGATTTTTTTTGTTTGGGGTTGTCAATAACTATCGATATTGTATCTACAGATATAATAATATGTATCTATTTTATACACATTTTGAGCTAATACGACTAAAAAAGTTAAAGAGCACAGTACTTTTAAGTTGAAAAATATATAGATTTTTTGGATATTTTTCTCACATGAGACGGGGTAAACTTTCTACATTTTTGGCCTAACAAAATACCTATTAGATTAGATTTCTGATCTATAGACAGTAGACTGGCTACAAAAAGAAAAGTGGTTTAAATCATAATGGGGGACAAAAACAAAATAAATAACTGATGGAGTTAGTAGTAATAGTACACATATGATATTATGAACACCAATAACAACACACGTGCTGCAGTATGTACTTAAACCAAAAGGTAAAAGCTGGTGTCCTTACACGCTTCGGGCTTTTTTAAAGTAAACAAAATATAAATTTACTAGTACCGATATCGAAAAAGGAGTCAGGATCTGAGCGAACTACATGAATTTCCCATTTTTAAGACTTATCCGTAGTTGATAGTCTGATAACTCGAATAGCTATGCTTGTTCGAATTCTAAAAATCATTTAATATAACATATCTTAAAATACAGCGTAGGCTTTAATAGCAATAAAACTTTAAAAGAATATCTTAATTTTACTTAAAACTATTTAATTCAAATTAATTTATGCATGTTTTTTGTCGCTTTGTATATTCATGTAATTAAATATATAGATATTACAAGATATATGTGATAATTTATGTTTCTGGTTCCACCAACTGTAGTCTAAATAGTTTCTTAGTCTGAATAAAGCACTCAAGACGTATGCATGAATACACTTTGCCGCGGGTCTTGACATACATTATTATTACATTAAAATTAACGGCGACGACATTTTCTATGCACTGTTACCATTTTCAAATCCAATTTATATGATTTTGAAGACAACCAAAATGATAAAATTAACCCTTAGTAACGTGCGCGGGGTAAACATTTACCTCAGTCACATAATATAGTTGTGTGACTGAAATCGCTAGCCCTTGATGCCCTTTAAAACTTAAAAAAAATAATAAAATATGAACATATTACCGTGTATCTATGATATTAATAGTCCCACTGCAGACAAACATAATTTATGTCTTATTTTTTAATTACATAATATAAACGGTCAACGTGGGAACGTACAACGATGATGAAACATATAAATATTTAAATAGAAATTACACACATCGGTGCAATCGATACACTTTGTTAAAAGGCC